ACCTGCGTCCACTTGTCTCAACCGCTGGGCCTGTATGTCCCTGTCAGCTGCCGCTGGGTCTGTCTGCCTCTGCGGGCCGCCAACGGGCCTGTATATCTCCGCCGGCTGCCACCGGGCCTGTATGTCTCTGCCGGTTGCCGCTGGGCCTGTATGTCCCTGTTGGCTGCTGCCTCTGGGCCCGTCTACCTCTGCAGGTCGCCGACCTGCATCCGCCTGTCTCCGCCGCGTGGCCCGTCCACCTCTGTGGGCTACCGCCGGGCCTGAATGTCTCTGTCGGCCGCCACCGGGCCTGAATGTCCCCTTCGACCGCCGCCGGGCCTGTCCACCTCCACAGGCCACCACCACAGGCCTACCTGCGTCTGCTTGTCTCCGCCATCTTGAATCTCTCTCTCTCAACAAAGTGGTTTTTACATGTTTGTTTGTGGGTTGTTTGATCAAATTCAATGGTTCTAACTTTAGTCAAAATGCTTATTCAAAAAAAAGAAAGGAAGAAATGAAGGGAGGGAGGGAGGGAGGGAGGGAGGGAGGGAGGGAGGGAGGGAGGAAGGAAGGAAGGAAGGAAGGAAGGAAGGAAGAAGGAAGGAAGGAAGGAAGGAAGGAAGGAAGAAGGAAGGATGTAAAAAAGGAAGGGAGGGAGGAAGGAAGGAAGGAAGGAAGGAAGGAAGGAAGAAGGAAGGATGTAAAAAAGGAAGGAAGAAAAAAGAAAGAGAGAGAGAGAGGTCAGGCCACTATGCCTTAACTGGCCACTCTGGCATGTTTCCTTATTACTCAAGGGTTAATTAACAGTCTGATTCCACTTTTGAAGTTTAACTCCTAACAATTTCAACCTATGTCTCTCATTTTACAGAAAAAATAATCTCAAGACATCTGTTCTTGATATTGATGATAATTTCAAATCAAGACAAGCAGGCCAAAAACAGAATCCTCACATGAGACTCCCTGGAGAGTTTCAATTAGTATTTGTAGACAGACTATAGGATTGCGACTTCCTTTCCATTGTTCCTAGATCATGTGTCTCAGCCCAATCTTATATTAGAATCTCAGATTCAGTCATGATTGTAGATTCCAGCACACACTATGGATGACTCCCCTCAATGGAAGGATTCTGACATTTGTGTCTGCAAGGCAGTGGTGCTCATAGCAAAGAATTGGATGGCTGCCCTGTACGACATAATATCCTGCTGAATAGATCTAAATGAATGTTTATGCCCACACAACACCGATAACAATGACACAGGATCCTGGAAAATGCCCTTTATGTCCCTGCATATTGCATGTCTATAGCTTAAAAATGCTATTAATGACGTTGCATGGAAAAGCACCCACAGCATCATTACAACACAATCAAAGGTTCACTTCAAACTTGATTTTAGCCTTAGACCTCTCAAAATTGCCATTCTTTTTGACAATTCTGATTAGGTCTCTCTAGAAGAAGTGATAAATATGAGAAGCTCAGAAAAACACACATCATCACTGAGGGAAGTCACGGAACAACCAAAAGAAGGAACTGGGTGTGTGTCAAGTGTTATAAAAGAACACACACAATAATTTTAGAGAAAATTACAAAGGAATTTCCTTACATTTTTTATCTCTAAATTAATAATAATATCAGAGGAATTGTACCAGCAGAAACATTATTAATGGCATTAAGACACATAAGAACTAAGGTTACAAACATCCATGGATGATTTATTCAGGTGACTCTTCTTAACCCTCAGAGTATAAATTGCCCGACATTCTGAATAAAGCTGTCTGTTGCATGAGACTAGTCTCATTTATCAGCTTCATTATACCCAGCTCTACTGCCTCTAGAGTGGTAAAGAAACCGGCAGTGAGTACATATTGGCATGCTTCTGCAAAGTACATGCATATTTATTCCACAAGAAAAAACACAAATGTGTTCTTATGACAGGGACTATGCCATGCTCTTATTATGATGCCAGCATTTGCAGTAATATTCATTCAGGCATCTTTTCTTTATAGATTTAAAAATATTTCAAACTGGATTTTTAAATGGAGATAGGGTGAACAAACCATCTCTGGTTTAAAATGATATTTTCTAATAGATTCTAGTCATTGAAGGCTCAGTTTCATTCATTTTGGGTAACATTATTAAATATTCAATGTTAGAAAGGATCCATAACATTACTTTTTTGTCAAACTGACTAAGTGCTAAGAACTTTAGTATGTGTTAGATGCAAAACCAAGCTCATCATAGGTTGTTTCAGGAAATTACTTTATACTTAAGACTGTGCATACATAGTCTCACTGAGGAGGGACCATTCTTTTTTTTCTCTAGTTTTACATTTGGTAATTTTGTAAAAGCATAGAAGGTGCTTATTTGTAGTGAAATCTTCTTTGTGTTAATACACTCTCTTACCATGCTTGCCCCCATTTTGAAGAAACTGGTTGAACGGAATCGTAGATGGCTATTGAGCACATGTGTACAGATTCAAAAAGGTGGAACAGGATGGAGAGTCTAGGACAATGTACTTCATGTTACTATATGTATTCTTAACTTTATCTGTAGATGATCATGTTTCCCATATAGTCAGGATTCAAATATCTATGAATAAATGACTAGAAATAGGAGAGAAAGAATTCACTGGCTGTTTTAGGGATATGCTAGCAATGTGTCCATTTCTAATCTTCAAATGTTTGTAGAGACTGTAAAGAGGAAATGGCTGGGGAGGGGAATCCTGAAGAATAGTACTGACATAGGACACATGAAACATGAAAGTAGAGGAAATTGTGAAAAATAGCAAGCTTTAAGTGGTAAAGAGGACAGAAATTTAGGGGAAAGGTGGAGAAAGGACTACCAAAACTAAAGATTATACAGAAACCATATGGAAATCTACTAGTCTAAAGGCTAATTTTGAAAGAAGAAAATAAAACCTAAAAGGGCCAGCAGATAGTTCAGCAGGTTAAGAAACTCACTGCCAAGCCTGATGGACTGAGTTTGATTCCTAGGACTCAGACACTGGAACCCTAGATACTTTTATTTCTTCAAGTTGTCTTTCATACAGTTTTTCAGGTTGAATAACCCCAGAATGAAAGTAATCCAGACAAATAATCAATGTTCACATGTTTCAATAGAGATTTTTCAGTTGAAGGTTGGATAAAAATGTTCTAGCAATGCTGTTTCTATATTCATTAATCCACTTAAATTCTGCTGAGAAATAAAAAGAAAGTCTAACCCATTATCACATCTGAAATGTCCAATATTTATGGAAGTAGAAAGGACCTCTGAGTTGGGAGTGGTGACTCATGCCTATGAACCCAGACGTTGAGAAGCTAGGATAAGAGCTTTCCCTGAGTTTGAGAACAACCACGGGTATATGAATATGTTCCATGAAAGCCTGGGCCTGTCTGAGAAAAACTAAGAAAAAAGAAAAGAAAGCAGAGAACACAAGAAGGGGAGCAAATAGCAGTGCATAGTGCCAGGGAGAGAAGAGAAATAAAATAAAAGACAAAACAAAATTTAGGTCAACAACACTTGCATCTAAGAATTAAAGACAATTGGTTAACAGACATGGAGGATTTCTTTGTAGAACTTTTGTGCATAGGTTGCTAAAGGATAAAAGAGTCAACAGCTTTGAGCAATATGTTAAAGGTTATGAGACTAGACAAAACAGGATAAACATAAATTGCAATTATAAAACCAGACTGTTGAGGCAAATTAAATGAATACAAACACACCCAATAAACAAAAAATTGAAGTTTTCTGGACTTCTGTGCCCTGATCTATCAGCAGAGACTGGTGGTCTTTGATTTGCTTCTGATTCCCTGTACTCACTAAGCTAAATAAGAACTTCTGATATCATTCTGCAGAGTGTTGGCGGAGCCAGTTATTCTTCATGAATCTGGGGTTTTCTCAGTCACACATCCTAAACTTTTTAGCATAAATATAAAGGTTATTAGAAAATATTTCTTAAATTGTAGGTTTTTATAAATATAAACTGAATTATGTGGATCTGAGTGTAGCTATCCTTAGATAATTAAAGTCCTAAATATGGCAGAATATGTATATTCAACACTACTTTTAGACATACTTGATATGAAATTACTCAAAATGATCAATAATGATGTGTAGTGTTGACTGTCAGTGACATTCAAGTAATGGAATATTTAATCTGTTCTAGTGCCATAACAGAATATCTGATGTTAGTTAATTTATAGTGTTAATATACTGAGATGGCTCAGCAGTTTAAAGTGTATACTACTCTTGCAGAGGACCCATGTTCAGTTCCCAAAATCCACATTAGGTAGTTCCCATCTTCCGGCTAACTCCAGGTCCAGGTGATTCAAACACTTGTGTTGGCCCTCTTGGGCACTTGTATTAATATGCAGAAATACACACCATAACATGTAAATATACACAATGAAAATAAATATAAACCTAAAGAATTATTTATTTTATACTTTTAAATATTGACAATCCAGAATTGTGTGGAGCCTCAGGTGGATGTCTTTTCACTGCATCATAACACAAAAGGTGATATGTTTAATATATAGTGAGCCACATGACAAAAGAGAAGAAAAAGGCCAGAGAAGGGAAGGCTCATTATTTCATAAACACCTACCCCACAAAGAAAATAATCTACCCAGGGAGGGACAATGTAATTCCTTTCCAAGTGTATACCTTCATAGGCCAATCAGCTTTTACTAGGCCTAATACTTAAAGATCAATAATGTTCAATACCATTGGTTCTAGCCATCACATTCAACCAATACCACAAAGTAAAATACAGAATTATATCACATGAGGCCAAGATCACAAAGTCTAATGAGATCTATAAAACTTATATACACACACATACACACATTTAAACATACATACATACATACATACATACACACACATATTCACACAAAAATATACATGTAACATGATTTATATCTAAATAAGATTGAATACAGAACTTATATCAAGCAGTTCTATACAAAAGCCATTATTTTTTATTTAAAGTGACTTGATGTGTAATTGATTTTAAATGTACCTGGGGTGAGAAACTTTTCATGAAACAAATAGGTCACATTATGGCCATGGTCTTGAAGAATTTGTGACACAAGGCTCATCACTATATAGTGGCTTCCACCTAGAAATAAAACATAAGTTCATTTTTGTGGAGACTAATGAAAAGATTTCTGACTACCATAAATAACTGACATTTAAAAAAGTTCAAAAGTAAGTGTAACGATATAGATAGACTCATGATGCATAAACAGAAACCAGCACTTCCATGCCCTCAATTACGTTTCAGGTAATATCCAGGACATGAACCCAGAGCTCTGATCGATAACAGTTCTCCATCAAAGATAGGAAGGTCACGCCTGAAGAGTTGACTCAGAAGTTAAACGCAGTTGCTGCTCACACAGAGGACTCAGGCTCAATTCCCAGCACTCACATGATGCCTCACTACCACCTGAAACACTAGTTCCAGAAGATCTAACACCCTCTTCTGGCCTCCATGGGCATTTCATGCACATGCTACACTTACATACTATATGTGCAGGCAAAGCACTCATAAACACAAACATAAAAAAAAAATCTTTTTTAAAAATCTAAAGGTTCCCATCTTGATTATTGAGCTACTCTGCTTGGACATTGGGAAAGAAAAAGGGAAATGATATCATTATAACCCAAAAAAATAAATAATTTTAAAAGCAAGTGAAAAATGGAGTCAGAATTTTTAGCAAGAGTGTGCAAGTCCCCTACTATAAAGATACTTATTAGAAAATGTATATGAATTCATTATGGGAAACTATAAATGTGAGTTGTAGTCCTGCAAGAGGCAGCCCAATCTCTTCACCCTTCTTTTCTCTAGGTTCAAGCCCATATCTATAATCTGTTTCTCGCCAACACTGAGGTACTCAGGATCCATCTCTGAAAGTGATCTAAAGCAGACACACTGTCCTTTGTGAAAGGTTGAATACAATAATTCAACCTTTATACTGGCACACTTCCAAATTTTGGCATTCTATTATTTAGACAAAAAAAAGTAAATATCATTTGAGCCACAGAATACAGATTTATAAGACCCATCTATCTTCAAGTTAGATGAAACACAGCAAGGCACAATAGAATCCTCCTCAGGATATCAAGTCATCTTTTTAGATTTACCTTGGAAGAAAATATTCCCAATATTCACACTTTAGAAATTTAGGGCAATCTGGATCAGGCCCTCTGAATAGGTGAGACAGTTGATTGGCTTGATCAGTTTGGGAGGCATCTAGGCAGTGGTACCAGGTCCTGGGCTCGCTGCATGAGATAGATGTTTGAAACCTGGGGCTTATTCAGGGATGCTTGGCTCAGTCTGGGAGGAGGGGACTGGACCTGCCTGGACTGAGTCTACCAGGCTGATCTCAGTCCTCGGGGGAGGCTTTGCTCTGGAGGAGGTGGGAATGGGGGGTGGGCTGGGGGGAAGGGGAGGGGGGCAGGAAGGGGGAGAACAAGGGAATCTGTGGCTGTTATGTAGAACTGAATAGTATTGTAAAATAAAAGAACAAAGAAAAAAAAGAAATTTAGGGCAAGTCTCTGAATGTTCTGCCTCTGCCACTGAGGAGACTGTGTTATTCCAGGGCTTAGGAGTACATCTAAATTCTAGTGCCCCGTTCTGTGTAATGACTACTTCTACAGCAGCTGAAAGAAAACATCTGCTTTACATAATTATCATCAGCCACGCATAGGTGGCTCACACCTTTAATCCCAGCACTCCGGAGGCACAGGTGGATATCTCTATGAGTTTGGGGCCAGCCTGGTCTACAGAGTGATTTACAGGACAGCCAGGAAAACATAGAGAGGCTCTCTCACAAAAAGAAAAAAAAAAAGCACAAAACAAAAAGACCACAAAGCGGGGAGGGAAGGAGAGTTTGCTCTGTGTTTAAAGTACTGGATCTTCTTCCAGAGGACCCAGGTTCAATTCCAGGCACCCTCATAGAGGCTTATAGCCACATGTAACTCCAGTTCCAGAAGATCTGATGCCTTCTTTGGAGTCCCACAGTGCCTGGGTACATAATTAGCAAACAACCAGAAATGCAGGTAAAATATTCATACAATAAGAATAAATAAGAATTTATTTTTATCATCAACTTGCTAAAATAGTTAGGAGTAATGAAGAGGACCAGATAAGCTAACTTACTATTTGTTGCTCAAATTCTAAAGATCATATAAAAAAAAAATCCAGGGCCTGATATTGGGCTAAAAGCTGGGATATCAGAAAGACTGAAGGAACAAGCCACAGGTTACCTCACCAACTCCACCAATCCTCTGACTGAATGAATGTCTGAGTCCTTAGCTGAAAGGTCTCCAGCCAAAAAGGGCTTAGTTCCTGTCCCCTCATGCCTTATATACCTTTCCCCACCCAGCCATATTACTTCCTTCCTAGTGCGGGCATTAAAGGCATGTGCATCCAAAGTACTGGGATTAAAGGCGTGTTCCACCACTGCCTGACTCTGTTTCTCTCCTAGATTGAACCAATCTCTTCTAATCCAGATGGCTTTCAACTCAGAGAAAACGGATCTCTGCCTCCTAAAGGCTAGGATTAAAGATGTGTGCCACCACTGCTGGGCATCTATGTTTAATCTAGTGGCTTGTTCTGTTCTCTGATCTTCAGGTAAATGTTATTATGGTACACAATATATCACTACAACTATTCATTGTTAAATCCATAATGTCAGTAGCTTTGCTATAAAGCAGCATTAGGAGCCAATGATGAAATGCTTACAGTCTAGAGTTCCCTTATGACTATGACATCTAAAGGAGGTAGAGTTTCAGATAGTCACTATAGTCACAAGGAGGTTAGTGACAAACTATCTTTGCAAAATCTCCTTAGTAATGATACAGAGTAAGCTCAGATATCAGAAGTCAGTAAGAGTAGAATCATAGTCCGTTCAGAATGAATAACTCTACTTTTGGTAATGAATTATTAAAAAATATATATAAGTAACCCATCCAGTTTCACTTGTTTTTGGTTAACTTTTAAAAATCATTGATTTTAGAGGTCATGGAGCACAACATGTGAGTTATTTGTTGACAACTTGGCTTTAGGTAATATCTATTATGAGTGTACTGTGATCACACATTACAAATTAAGTTTCTAAGTTCTTTTTGCAGAAGCTTGAAGGTTACTTATGTTAAAATCTTGACTCTTTACCAGAAACACTAGGTATCCAAATTAGGATTAAAATAAGATAATGCATTTATCAATTCTGCCTTCCTACAATATCTATGTCCATTCCTGCCCTAATCCTTGGGTCACAACATATTCAGTATGAATGCAAACACGTTAAAAATTGTAAAAAAAAAAAAAGTGTTTTCACAAAGCCTATATATTGGTTTGATGTGAGCTCTTGACTTTTGATACTAATGTGTATTTCCCCTACTGAACCCTGACTTTTATCACTGATTGATGTGTATAAAGCCCTACCCAGTTTTCATGAGCCCCAGACCAAACAATGGAGCCAGAACATTTGTTGTGTTCAGAGTAACATAGAAGTACCTACAATGAGATGATGCCATGATGGCATGACATGATGACATGATGGCAGTGACTGAGTGCCTTTATAGAAGAACAAGAAATACTTTTAAAGACAGAAATGTTTATGGATGTAGCCAAACACCTGAAAAATCAAGAAATGCTCATTGTTCCCTTTTTTGGAACAATAGACTAATCACTTTTCTAATATGCATTCCATCTACTCACAATCTAAAGCCCCAGTAGAGAAGCCTTTCTCATCTTCCTTATAATATACAATTCAGTCTCCTGCTGCTGTTTCCACATCAGATGCTATTTCCATCTACTATTTACCCCCACTCTTTGGTAGAATCACTTCTGAGCACCATATTTCACAATGCACCTTTCCTCCCCTAGGTTTGATCTAAGCCTAGCTGGAAAATCTCCTGCATGGTCAGTCCACTGCATGCTGTTTGCATGAGACATGTTAACCCAAGTATACTGGTCTCACAAGACTATATTCCCAGCAAGCACTCACCAGTTGTAGATATAGTCAGGATTTTTGCAGCATCCAAGAGAAGAACCTCAAGGAGAAATAAGCTCACTAGAATCCCAATCCGATGCTCAGCCATCTGTAAATCAAGTGGAGCACAGGCACAGGATGCACAGCTTGAGAACTGTGTGCCACTAAGGGACCCTGTGAGCCTCTGTCACAAAGCACTGGCTGTGCCCTTGAAATGAGGTAAAATGAGATCTTACTCTGGTCTTCCAAATCTCCTCTTGCTCTTTGCCTTGTCTCTGCTGATCTCTTTCCATTGGACATTCTGTTTTCCCCTCCTTAGCCAGAGTCAATAGAGGAACAGGGGCTGAGTTAATATTTACCTTGTCCTTTAGCCACAATATCCTCTTTACTGCCCTTAAATAACTCTCTAAATTGTGAATGAAGGAACCCTGAGAAATCCTGTCAATGACAGTATCTTGAAGCGACATGTACCATGATCCTTTTACAGGCCCATTTCCCTAACTCACAAGAGTCTGCCTCCTCTGTCATTTCTCTATTTGTATCCTCTTGTCATATCTGTAACCCATTATGCCAGGTGCCAGTCTCAAAATCGCCAATAGTGTGAATGTAAGCTAATGTTTCAGGAAAACACCTTATTGCCCAAGGGCTCTCACTAGTCACAAATTATTGAAAATGTGTTAGTGGCCTAAGTGCAGAACTTTACCCCCCAAAATAAAATATGTACCTGTCTTTACTTCTTACTCTGTGGCTTGTTGTGTAGCTGGGAGGCTGGACCATAGAGTCCTTCACTCCTTCTCCATTCACTTCCTGTTCTTTCTTCTTCCCAGATTTCTCTTCCTATTCAATCTCTCAGCCTGCCAGTCCTGCCTATACTTTCTCTTGCCTAGCTATTTATCATTCAGCTCTTTATTAGACCAATCAGGCACAGTAACACAGCTTCACAGAGTTAAACAAATGCAACATATCCTTGCATCATTAAACAAGTGTTCCGCAGCATAAACAAATGTAGCACATCTTCAACTAATATTCCATAACATTTCCCCCTTTTGGCCTAAATGAAAATGAAAGGTTTTAACTTAACACAGTACAATCATACACAACAAAAACAGTTATCAAATAAGAATTACATTTACAACTCAGTCCATTAGTATTTAGCAATTTAAAGAAAATACTCCATTGTCTATCTTATCTTAGTGATTCTAAAGTTTTATACCTAGTTTACTTTTTAACATAACTGAAGAAAAACTATAACTATTTAATCTTTAACTCCAAAGACTCCAGGATGAAGGATGACCTAACAGCAGAGACAACTGGCTTTCTGGACAGTCACCTAAAGTTCCTCTGTAACATTGGGGCATCCATATCAGCCCAGGCCTACAATATCTGGCAGACTTTTCAGTGAAACAGGAAATTTGAAGGACTCTCCTGCCTTGTATTGGCAATGTTCATCAGTTGCTTTCCTCTGAATCCTGCAGAATATCTAACAGACTCCTCTGTGAAGTGACAATTTTGAAAGACTGTCCAGCCTTGTTTTGACAAAGTTCAGCAGTGACTTTCCTGTGAGTGTTACATGTGCAGTCTGCACAGCACACTGTCAACACTCAAGGCAAAAGCAGTTTCTTGTCCAAATGGCTAGCCTTGCCACATTGAAAATAAACTCTAACTGGAGTTTCTCTGATGCCTATCATCCCTTTATGAAGTATTTTAGTGCTGCCAGGATCAGATATGTCTTTTTGTTATGAAAAAACTTAGGTTATTAAACTTCTTAAATGTTATATTCTGTAGGTCTTTGAAGTATTTGAAAATCATCTATCTGTCTAAAATACACCTGTTTAATCATGAAAACATATCAGATGTGACTACGAGTTTAATTATAGATTAACTACTAAACTCATCTCTTAATTATACATTGGATTTTAAATGATCTGCATAAGCACTATACACCAAACAAGAGTAGAAACTTATTCACAATGTAATAAAAATAATTGTAAATTTGTATCAGTTTGTCAAAATCCATTCCAAAGCATAATATGTGAGATTGATAGTTGTCTTTTTATCCTATATTTCTATATTCCTGTAAATGATAGAAAACAGACATAACTCGCCAAATAACAAAAGACCACCCACCCCATCTTTTGGGAATGTGGGCATCATGTACTGCAGACTGCTTCCTGTTGTCTGTGGGTAAAGGCATCTTTAGGAGGCCCTGAGAAAATGTGAGGTAACAGCCAAGTCATGGGAAGACTAGCTGTTTCCTTTATTGATATATATCACCTGTCAAGATTCAGGAGGTCTTCACCAAACAAACATGATCCACATCAACTCAGAAGGAACATACAGACTCTCATTTCCTATGGAAACAAAAGCAAAATCTCTTCTCCAATGTAACATATTTTTTGACATTATTTTAAAGTTAATATAGCCCTAAAGTATTTAGGTGGGCTCAATTTAGCAATCCAGTTCTCAAGTTCATGTCTGCCAGCAGCTGTCATTTGCTCCTCAGCATTCAAAATTTTCAAAATCAGAACAATACTATACAGGATCCAGATTCCCTGTTTATTTTGCATCATTATGTGGCTTTTTCTTTTATATTACTTTTACTCTCTCTTTAAACAGTTTATTTCGTTCTATGACTGTTAATAGCCTTTTCCTTTTTTCTTAAACCTTCACACATTGTAAAACACAGTGGAACCTATTTAGAGGTTTTTTTTTTCCTTGTGTGAACCTGCTTTACTGCATATCTCTAGTCTTTTTTGAAATGTGAACAAACTTTAAACTGCTAAGTGGAAGGACCTCTGCCACTGCTTTGGTGACTGGCTTCAGCCCACTTCTTGGGTCTTCAATGCCAAGACTAAAGTTCAAGATCCAGTCAGACTACCCAGTCAGAGGTACTAGAGGTAACTTTGACAAGAACTGCCTTCAACCCCAAAACTATGGAATGTTGATGCCCTGCATTTCTTACTTAGCTTTTGGTTTCTGTTTAGCAAGAAAAGGGCTATTTCAGTGCTGGGCTATAAGGCAAAGTTTCTTAAAGGAGCAGTATCTATTTATTTTTGTTTTTTGTTTTTTGTTTTTTTAGCTTTCTCAAGCTATAGGAATATTTGAGACCCATAACGGGTGCCAAAATATAATTGGTTGTTTTTATACTTTTCACTTTTGATCTTTGGAGTTTGGGGGCCTGCCCTTCAGCTACCAAATAATTACACCACATCTTACCTATTCTTACTTAAAAATGCCTGGCTCTAGCTTGACTTGTTTCTAGACAGATTTTCTTAACTGAAATTATCCAGACTATCTTTTGCTTCCAGGCTTTTAACTTTCTATACATCTTTCTTTACTTTTTACTCTGTGGGTTGTCCCTCAACTGAAGAATGGATAAAGAAAATGTGGTACATATACACAATGAAGTACACTCAACAGTGAAAAACAATGACATCATAAAATTTGCAGACAAATGGATCAACTAGAAAACAATCATCCTGAGTGAGGTAACCCAGGCTCAGAAGGACAAACATGATATATACTTGCTCATAAATGGATACTAGAAGTAAAGCAAAGGATAGCCAGACTAAAATCCACAGCTCCAGAAAAGCTAGCTGTTTCTATTTCCTGACAGGTTATTCATCTATTTGAATAGTTTATCTGGTCTTGATTTAACTTTGGTATAAAGTATCTATCCAGAAAATTTTCCATTTCCTTCAGATTTTCCAATTTTGTGGAGTATAGGTTTTGAAGTATGACGTGATGATTCTCTGGATTTCCTCATTGTCTGTTGTTATGTCTCCCTTTTCATTTCTGATTTTGTTAATTTGGATGCTCTCTCTCTTCCTTTTGGTTAGTTTGGATAAGGGCTTGTCTATCCTGTCGATTTTTAAAAGAACCAACTCTTTGTTTCATTGACTCTTTGTATTGTTCTCTTTGTTTCTATTTTATTGGTATCAGTCCTCAATTTGATTATTTCCTGCAATCTATTCTTCCTGGGTCAGTTTGCTTTGTTGTTGTTGTTGTTGTTGTTGTTGTTGTTGTTGTTGTTGTTGTTATAGAGCTTCCAGGTGTTCTGTTAAGTCACTAGTGTGAGGTTTCTCCATCTTCTTTGTGTGGGCACACGGTGCTATGAATTTTCCGCTTAGTACTGCTTTCATAGTGTCCCATATGTTTGAGTATGTTGTGCATTCATTTTCATTGAATTCTAAGAAATCTTTAATTTCTTTCATATTTCTTCCTTGACCCAGTTGGTGATTCAGTTGAGCATTATTCAGTTTCCATGAGACTATAGGCTTTCCGTAATTTTTGTTGTTGTTAAAGTCTAACTTTAAGCCATAGTGGTACAATAAGATACAGGAGGTTATTCCAACTTTTATGTATCTGTTGAGGTTTGCTTTGTGACTGAGTATGTGGTCAATTTTAGAGAAGGTTCCATGGGGTGCTGAGAAGAAGGTAAATTCTGTTGTGTTAGGGTAGAATGTTCCCTATATATCTATTAAGTCCATTTGAGTCATAATATATGTTAGTTTCTTTATTTCTCTGTTAAGTTTCCATCTGGCAGATGTGTCCATCGGTGAGTGTGCAGTGTTGAAGTCTCCCAGTACTAGTGTTTGTGGTTTGATGTGTGATTTAAGCTTTAGTAATGTTTCTTTTATAAATGTGGGTGCCCTTGTATTTGGGACATAAGTGCTCAGAATTGAGACTTCATCTTAGTGGATTTTTTCCTGTGATGAATATATAATGCCCTTCTCTATTTCTTTTGATTGATTTTAGTTTGAAGTCTCTTTTGTTAGATATTGGGGTATCTACCCCAGCTTGTTTCTTGGGTCCATTTAATTGGAAAATCTTTTCCCAGCCTCTTACTCTGAAGTAGTGTCTGTCTTTGAAGTACATGGCTGAAAGATAGATCCTGTTTTCGTATCCATTTACTAACCTATGTTTTTTTATAGGTGAGTTGAGTCCATTGATATTAATAACCAGTGATTGATAATTCCAGTTATTTTTTTTTTGGTGGTAGTGTTGTATGTTCCCATTCTTTGGTATTTACTGGTATGGGATTATCTATTGCCCATGATTTCATGGATGTATCTAATTTTCTTAGGTTGGATTTTTCCTTCTAGTACTTTCTGTAGGGCTGAATTTGTGGATAGATATTATTTAAATCTGGTTTTATCATGGAATATTTAGTTTACTTAGTTTATGGCAATTGAGAGTTTTGCTGGATATAACAGTCTGGGTTGGCATCCATGGTCTCTTAATGTCTGTATAATGTCTGTCCAGGACC